TAGGCTGTTACTCTGTTATTTATCAGACACCGGATATTGTACGAGTTTCCCGGTAGGGCCTATAGAGCTCATTCGGCAGCGGAGTCACTGTACGATTTTTTCAACAGAGTCCAATTTCCGGTCGATCTGTCGTAGACACATGCGACCCCGTGCTACTGGGTACTTGCGACTCCACTGATTTCGTCTTCGTCCTTCAGCCCCCTTTCTATTTTCACCCTCGTCTACAGTCTTGGTACACAGGACGCGCCGGGAGGTGGCAGCAGTAGCAACGGCAACGGTAGCTACTACTCCTAGGACAGTTTTTCAGGATCCTGTAAGTATACGTTAGGGGGTTGAAGGAAAAAAAAAAAAAATAGCGGACAAGGGTAGTACCGAGCTACCGCCTTCAAAAGTTTCTCCCGGTATCTGTCCCAGTAACCAGGAGCGATATTTTACCAGAGGAAGCTACTGTCTGGTAGCGAAACCCAAAACCACTGTGAAATCAGCTTAAACCCTAACGGGGGGGCCTTCGTCCCTCCCTGGACCACTCCCCTTGCTCCGTCTTAAAGAAACACTCGAAACTAGGGTCGAAGTGGATTATCATTACGGATCTTAGTTGCATCGGGATACCTAGGTAAAACCTACCCGGTAGTTCCCTCCCTACACGGTGAACTTCCCGGGCTGCCTGGCACTTACGACACCCCAGGGCGCCACTAGGCGACCTCCTATCTCTCTCTCTCTCTCTCTCTCTCTCTCTTTCTCTGTGCTTAACAACAAAGAAGTTCTCGAAATCATGCAAATTTGACAAATCTTCCTACGCAACGTCTCCTGGTATATATTACGGCTATGTAGTATATATATATATATACCAACCTATATTTATATATTTAGAGTAACTACATGCTTCACGTCGCAAAATATTCCCAGCATCTTCCAAAAAGATTTTCACTGCTCCTCTCACCTTAATGGATCGTACTCGAGAATATGTAATATTGTAGCGAGTAGGAAGATACTAATAAGAATAAAAGGAGAGAGGAATAAAAAGGAAAAGAGAGAAATACACGATGGGATGAAAAAATCATCAATTATCCTTTACAACGGATCTATATGGTTATCTGCCTGAGATAAATTTTAATCTACCCTAAGATTATCGTATAATGATTTCTCTCGGCTGCTAATGACTATGTTAAATCGATGCACCCCTTCGACCTCTCCCGTACGTACTGAACCACATATCCGTATAGTCCGTTCAACCGTAACCTTTTACACATTGACCTCTCGAAGGTTTCAGCCATGACGAAATCTTATGCACGAGTGTTCTTTTTTTTTCTTTTTTCTTTTTTTTTTTCTTCTCCGAGTCTTCAAAAGTCGTCACGCAGTCAGGTGGGTCTCGTGTATGACGAGACGACGACTCCCTTGTATCGGGGTCTTTGTAAACGTCCCGAAGACTCGCAGGCAGTAAGCCAAGCATAAAATCATTTATCTCCGGGATAACCATGGAAGAATGACACTCTTTCTTCCGTCTTACATAGATTTAAAGTTTCTCTCCTTTTTCTTCTTCTTTTCTTTCTTTTCTCCGTCCTCCTCGGTCACCTTAGTTTTCCCTTTGCCCGTAGCTCCTTCCGAAGGCACCGTCCTCATAACTTATCTCTCGGTTAACGGCAGGAAAGTTGTACGCCATTCTTCGCTGGGGTCCAGGACTTTGGATGCTGTTGCAATCCATCAAGTCATCTCGTCGAGTCCGTCAGTCGCGCCTTGAAGATACTGCCTGTTCAAATTTCGCTTCACTTTTGTACTGCTTCTCTCTCTCTCTCTCTCTCTCTCTCTCTCTCTCTCTCTCTCTCTCTCTCTCTCTCTCTCTCTCTCTCTCTCTCTCTCTCTCTCTCTTTCTTGCACGTTATCCGTATATTAGAAAGAGCAGGACGCTCTTATGGGTATGCTGTAAGTATGAGAGAGAGAGAGAGAGAGAGAGAGAGAGGGAGTATGATATTTTTAGGATCGATATGGGATAACGACAGGTAGCAAGGAGAGGGGAGTGTGGGTCTGAAACGACCGTAGAGGGATATTAAAGTTATATGTGTTTTGCATAATACCTCTTTCTTGTTTAACAAAAAGAAAGTTAACTTTCTCTTTTTTTATCTGCTTCCTTAGCACAGACGCCGGTATCACGGATAACCCTTAACCCCGCTATCTTATATCCTTTGGAAAATTCAAACTTCTTTTTCCACTCACGTCCCTTCGATTCAACGCGAAAGCTTCTTCCCATCTGCTTCCCGCTCGCGGAAGATTGGACGTTCTTTGTGGTTCAATTGTTCGAGGAACACGGCGAAATGCCATTGGCCAGCTGCCAGTTGCGGCTAATGAAACTTAGGCAACTGGAATATAATTATGGACTGTTGTTGTGATTATGATAATCTTGAATCTTTTTTTTTTCTTTTTTCATCTCATCTTTACTGTATCGTAATATATATACAATATATATTTTTTAATTTTATTTTCTCACCTGGGTCTAGAATTTGGTAGCGGCTGTATGTGCGCGTGTCTATAGACACGTAAAATGGTCCAGGTAACGTAAAAGGCTGAATCGTTAAGAATGTAAACAGAAGTAGCTCGTTAATGGAAACCGCAGACATCCAAGGTATTGTCAAGAGCGATTAACCCAGTTCGAAACTAAAGGGGCTAAATGGCGAGGGAGTACGGCAGAAATCACGTACGGTCTTATCTGCATCCGAGCTTCCGGTTGCATAATTTCCCAGATAAATTTCAACGTGGGTACGAGATGTTCCTGGAATTAAAAAAAAGATATATATGTATATATATATATATACACACATATATATATCGAGAGCCACGTACAAAGCTTTCGTATAAGTATACTTGCACCTCGACGAAGGTCCGAAGTTGGTATTAGATTTCATCCTGAGGCTTTGGAACGTGTCTGACCCATTACGTGTTTCCCTGTCTGTCTGGCTGCTGGCTCTGGCGAAATCGCTAGAAAATGAGAAAAACACGTAAAACTCAACGCGAAGAAAAGAAGAAGAAAAAAAAGAAGTTTGGATTTTACGAGGTAAATTCTCGTCGAGTACTAGTTTAATCCTCAGGCGCCCATGAGAGTCTGGCCTAACGCCAACTGCAATTGAGAGAATTGAAAATAATTTTTACTCCGATGAATGCTGCGAAGATACATTTTTCCTTAATTATTAAAAAAAAAAAAAAATTCATATTCTCGTCCGATTGACCTGTCGTTTAAATAATTTTGTAGGAGAAAAAAAAGCGACTGCTTTTTCTCATTCAAAAGATAAACGTTCCAGAAATTCTTTGTGTATTTCCTCAAAATTCATCTTATCTTCAACGCGGCATGAACTTGAAACATTTTGGAAATTCCAGGCCTTAACATTTCGCCGAATCCTCTTACAGTGCCAGACTTAATCTGAAAAGCCGATAATTATAGCGTTTGGCATAACCTCAAAGGAGCACGGAAACCTTTATCCACGGAATAACGCACAGGATGTCTGCTGTGTACACGCTGGGCCGACTGGGATCTGTATTAGAAATTAATTTGCATTCGGATAGAAATAACAATGGGACCAGTTAGATTTGCGTTTTCGCCATAGGCATTAGGTCATATCGCATTATTCAGTATAAGGAAACATACCAATCCGAATTCTCTAGCAATTCGGGCTGCCAGACGTCTATACTTCGTTCGAGTTAATTCGAACGTTCCCAACCGTCAGCATGCTCAATCCCAAGAAAGTCCAGGAACGACGGAACGTGGAGTGGATGGACTGTGGATATGGATGAAGCGACCGTACAGTATTGAATTTTATAAAGGAATTGAAATGTTACCATATACGTACATATATGTATGGTTACATATATGGATCCTCATTTCACTTAACGTACGTGAGTCCTGAAGGAACAGCGACGTTAGACTTCGTCGAGGAGGTCTCTCTGTACTTCAAAGTCACTCAAGGTATATACAGAGTCTATGCGTTTAAGTATCCCTGAGAACAAGACTCAATGAATACCATATAGGATATCTGAAAACAAAGGCTTTGAGGTAAAGGAAGAATTTAAAAAAAAAAATTTTAATACTATACTGCAAGACAGTGAATCCCAGGTATGACGAGCAGCTGGTTGATGCGATTTAGATATATCCCAACGATTCTTTTTCTTCCTCATCTTTTTATTGGTATCAGGTGAGTAGTCGCGCGAGAGAGAGAGAGAGAGAGAGAGAGATAGCGAGAGAGTAATAGAGGGAGACAGGGGGCAGTGTAAACCTTTCAAAGGGATACCCGACGCGATGAAAGGCTTGGTCTGATACAATGGAAAAATGCGCACCGTGCTGCTGTGGGTCGCCGACGTGTTATTATCAAACAAAAGGGGAATGGCGTGCTGGAAAGTGTAATAAAAAAGTAAATAGAAACGAGCGAGCTTAAGGTATCATATACCTGACAATACAGAGATCAGAGAGCGGGGGAGCCAAAGGCCATGGCTCGACTTGGTGTCATTGTCTTCCGCGCGAAGCGCTGCTGGCCCGTAGCGCGGCGCTGAGTACGTCGCGTCTAGAGTCTTGCATATTGTATAGTCTATGGCCTTTGGACGGCACAGGCGTTACGGAGAGCGCGCGCGATTCACGACCGAAAGGTTGGAGGTTCGCGCCCAGCTTCCAGCGGCATTCACCAATTGACCATTCATATGAAAACTTAAGTGAGTATTTATACGGATTTCGGCCCAATACTGTTCGGATTCGGTGTATAAACTTTGTAGGTCCCCTCACGCTGAGTTGAAAAGGCCCGTCTCGCAAGGTACATCGCCATCTATTGTCGAACTTCCGAACTTGATTATTAGGACCAGTTACTGGCACATGTCCCCCATTGGGGATACAACCATAAGGAAAGGAAGGAAGGAGAGAGCGCGTGGGACGCTTCGCACGTGCATATCCACCTCGACGCTTCCTTCTAGAAGAAAAATTCGCTGTACCACGTCACTTCCCGTTAAATTTTCGAAGAGACCACGTCGACCCGAGTGACTCAGCCACGAAGGACACCTGTACAATTATTGCATTTAACATAGATCCGCACCGAGTACACCAGCGCGGACTCCGCTTTGACGCGGACGGGGCGACGCGTAGCGGCGGTTAATCGAACCTATCGAAAATATCAGCTGTGCAGCGTACATGCTAAATTTATATCGGTTATTTATTTCTTTATTTATTTTTTTTTTTAGTATTTATTTTACACGGATCCTCGCTTACTTTGTCTTTCTCTCTCTCCGTTCTCTGCACTGTATAATATATATATATATATATATATATATATATATATTAGCTGTATCCATTTGCCATACCCAAACGAAATTTTCACGTTGACGTGTGCTCGTCCGGTTCGTCAAATTCCTCACAAATGGGGAAATACGTAGACGGAAGCGGCCCAACGTGAAATACTCGAATGCCCTCGGGATTCTGCATCGACGCAGCGTATCCCAGCGCCCTGTATACATATACCCTTTGTCCCTCGTGCTTCTCGCACGGTCAATACGTTTACTTCTCCAATCATTTTATTGGATCCACATACCGACCCGTGATTTCCTGCCTGCCGCGTATCGTCCTACGCTAATTAATTAACCCCCGTAGCACCGATTGCCTAACCTACAAAATTAGACGAGCGACGAGTCCCACCCAATTATGCCCGGTCGCCGCGAAGCACAGCCGGAAGTCAAGAAGCAGATAGAAATGGAAAGATGGTCTTGCAGGAACGATCGCGCCCGCCATACGGCGACCCTAACTAGATCGGTGTAAAGATAGGGCGTCCTCAGGCGTCCTCAGGCGTCTTCGGCCGTCTTCGGTCTTACCAAGCCGAGGATTACCCGTGGGAGAGTCCCACACGGGGCACACACCGGAACAGACTTCCCTCCATCCTTGTACCCCCTAACCCCTGAAAACTTAAAAGTCCCGTCACAGAACGGAAGTACAGCGCAGCTGAAGATTGCCAAGGAGGCCAAGGGTCGACGGCTACCGTCGTCCTCTTGGCATTAGTCGTATCCCAGTCGAAAAAGACAACGGCCTACCCGTCCCGCACCTCCACTCCACCCCTCGACCACCCCACCTCCTACCCTCGTTACCCACCCAGATTCTATCCGTATAAAAAAAATTACGTAACTACACACGCGAACGTGCCCTCGTTCGCGGGAACAAGTGGATGTTTTTTTTTTCGAAAAAATAAAAAAAAATAATCCACCCTCGGCTACTCCTGCCTAAACCTAATTATATAAAATACAATACACCCTGCGTCTGAGCTTTACCACACGACCTGTACCACTCAGGCCCCTCACTCCTTACACACATATGTACACGTAATACACTTGAGACTTTTCCCACACTCGAGAAAGTATAAATATTTATCTCTTTCGTCCACCCTCGCGAAGGTTCCCCCGCCGCGTCTCATGGTACTTGCATGCACAATGTCTCGTAACACCTACCGTAAGAATATCCCTGCCGGCCTCTGCGCCAGTAGGAGATTACGGTAGATCCCGACTAATTGGCGATACGGACACGCGAGCTTCGTCACAATTTTACCAGAGGTCCTTCGTGCATACTCAATGGAGGGGGGCTCACTCATTATGAATCCAGAATAAAATGAATACCAAACGGTGATATCTAAAGAAAAATATAATAATTGTCCGTAATTGGATGAAGTATAAAATTAAGCTTGTAAATCCTTGATTCGCTCTAATTGCATCGTGCACGTTACACCGGTCGGTTTAACGGGCTGGGATTAGCAAAGGCAGAATGTCAATTGTACGCCGTGTTTATCGGGGGCTATAGGTTACGTACCGTCGGGTTGTGGTATCTCTGCCAGGAGCTGCCGGGGATTGGTTCTGTGGATAAATACGTATATATGTATGTGCATATATATTTGAATGCGGCAAGAAACCAATGGACGCCCCTCCCGCCCCCCCTATCAAAGCCCAAGTATACCCAGTGTGTATCTCATCAAAGAAGCAGGTCTGAATCCTCTCATTGGGAATCTCGGGTGCGCAGTGCTGCCACACGGCTAGACTTTGAACTTGCAAGCAGCAGGCTGCTTCGTGAGAATACTTAACGGCAGAATCGGCGCATATGGGATATTTCCCCACCTGTGCTCGTCAAAAGGCACTAATCGTGCCTTCATCGGATTTACCGAGAAGTGGTGCCGCGGTCGACCGATAAACGTCCTTACGCTACCCCTCTGATTAGGTATAGGGTGTTTCTAATGAATTCCCTAGTCTGGCTAGAGGTCTAATCATTTGCATTCAGGGTTCGGTCGCTTTGTATTATATCATATATATATATATATATATATTTATACGTTTGACGTTACTTATCCGTAGGAAGCATAGAGGCATCCTTGTGAGAATTATAGTGAGTCTCATTATGGGGTATGTATTTTTTCTATACGGGGTGTATGTTTTGGTTTTTTTTTTTTTTAAATAAAGAGTTCATACGTTTTGGTTACGACAGTCGAGCGTTGATTTTTCTTTGGTTTTATTGGGGAAAAAAAAATTTTTTTTTTATTGTTCTACCTGGTCATTTCGATTGGACAGTGGTTTTCGCACTCGCCACTCGATTACCATGCAAATTCTGTAGGGAGTTGCTGTTAATGTCTATCGGGTGGGCTTTAGTTTAAGCTGTAAGTGATATTAGTGTATAATTTTGATTACGTATAAATTCGTTTTTTTTTCCTTTCATTTTTGACGCGTCATGAATTAACGGGATTCGCCCACGTCACTTTTAGTTATTTCGTATCTTTCTCTTTTTTTTTTTTTTTTCCGGCTCTGGCTTATATTGGAACTTCCTGGCGCGCACGATGGCCATCTGCTTTTACGGCTACTAAAAAAAAAAAGAAGTGCCGGTCCCGGGAAAAAGGTCTTACGATACTTTAAGAGAGTCTCCTCGTGAACGGAAGAAAGTGTCATACCGAAAATAACCTGGGATATATCCGGGATTAACCGCGAAAATGGGACCGGCCCCCCCCCCCTTTCTTCTGTAGGTCAACTTTTTTTATTCCCTTTTTTTTCACTCTCTTCACCTCTTTCACGTTAATTTCTACAGTACGTTCGACGTAATCACGGCAAGAGGGGCCTCCTAATGGGTTCGGTGGTATAACAGACAATTCGAGATAAAATTCAGAATTTCTTGTATATGTCAGAAATGTTTCAATTAATTAGGTTTTATAAGAAAAATGTGGAAATTTTCGTTTAATCCCTGTATAACCTGTGCCTTCCCTATTAATATTATGATTATCGTCACCGAACCTCCTTAAGGATAAATGCTGCTTGCCGTAAATCATAATAATAGGGGTGAATGCGATAGGGGTTTCCGGGTGAAATTCCCCGAATGTCTATGACGTATAGTCGAATTAGGGACGGGGGTAGATGTAGAGATGGAAAAAAGTGATTAAAAAAATGGCCTACCATAGTCCACGACGATTGGCTTTTTTTTGGAGGGAAAAAATAAAAAAAAATCTACCCTCGTATTTACGCGAATGACAAGCAGGCAAAAGTTTTTTTTTTTTTCTCGAAAACAACCCTTGGAAAAGTCATCGCTGTCGCGTATCGTAAATCAAAAGTTTATAGCATTCCAGATGAGATTCCCCAACTACAGTCTGTTTCAATCGTAAATGTCCCGAATCAGCGTGTTACCGCCATGAGCCAGAGAAACGTCTAGAAACGCCTGAAGTCTATCCCCTCGCAGTCTATCGGCGAGGCGATCGAATTATTTACCAACAAATTCAATTTCACGATCGCGCCCGAATACGTATGTAAAATGTATAAATGTTCTAGAACGTCGAATCGATCGTGCGAATTTGTTAATCGAAAAAGAGAAAAATGAAGAAAAAGGTTTATTAATATAGAAATTAAATTTCACCGTAGCCCCCGTTCGATCGGCGATAATCATAAATCGAACTTACCTAGGAGGTAATGAAAATTTCATAATTAACGCAAACCCATTACATCGCGTTAAACTTCCACATACTGTCGTCAGTTATGGTTCGCGCGTGGGAATCCCCGCGTAACGGGAATATTAATGCAGGTAACAATGTCGAAAATGCGCGAGCACGAAT